TTTGTCCTTTGATCACGTTCTACTTTTGCTAAGCAAGCAGATGAAAAGACGTCCTAGTCTATGGCAATAGTCTCGAGAATGGCGTATCTCATGACATAATACGATGGCAATTCGTATCGTAGATCCCTAGAGAATCAGTAATTATTCTCTGGAAATTTGTTAGCTTGGAAGAATATTTACCCGCTATCAATGAGACTAATTTTCATGATCGAACACTAATCTCGAACATATCATCCCCAGGTTGACGGCTTTATTTCCAGATGAAGCCCTGTTTGAGAGGCGAACTACGGCAAGAAGCCACAGGATAGCACGGTTGTATATTAAAATGTGAGCATGGACATTTTAAAAGATAATATCAAATACATGACGTCCCCAAAGGTATCCAACCTTGAGATATCAGTTCTGATATTTTAAAACCTCAATTCTTGCATGGCTGTAAACGTTTGCTGAATCTACAGTTGAAAAATACGGGACATCGTGTCCTGTAAAGGCAACAAGTAGCATTTTACTATAAAACGCTAGTACGAATAGGACAGATATAGTCATTTGTGTTCATCTACTGACCCGATCGATGTCTCTTCCTCGTACGAATAAACGCTGGTTCCAACGTGTCTGGCTCCGTAACAAGAATCTGTAGTTGATTGCTTTGCATCGTTATTGCGGATTTCGGGAAACTGCTGAGCGCACACGCGGATGATTGCTTATCGATCGATTCGGACCCTTTTTTTTTTCAGACTGATCAACAAAATTGTAAATAATATAAATATACATATAATAATATTATAGTTTCTATTATATACAGTTTGATATGACAATATACATTGATCACGCCACATACGGGATTCGTCCACAGTCCAAGATCTTCAATGAAAATATCTGCAGTATTATTTTTAAAAGAAATGCTGTGAAGTTTTCCACTATTCAAACCAACAAACACTGATTAGCATGAGCGTTGGTTCGATTTGACAGGGAGTTTGTAAATTCCTTCACGCTCACTCGAGTATTTCCTTAGTATATAGAACGCATATGTAAATGACAACGCTGAAATTAATTAGATCCTGATATAACGCATGTTTCGGTACACAAACAAATTTGAATACCTTAGATTCAACATACTCTAGCCATTGCAGTTTCGTGCTTTCGCTTGGTTCGTACACACTAACGAATCAGAATAGGATTAATGATATGCGCTCGCAATGCAAGAATTGGATTTTGACATCTTCGACACAGAGGCTAACTTGAGTTGCGATTTCGTAGCTCGCCAAAACCACATGGATCCAACTATTTACCTTATTTAATTATTTGTCGCATTTTGTAAAGCCCCTATTATGATACAGCCAACTTGTACAGCCTCCTGCATGAAATTTTGAAATTTCTTCCTTGATGGTTTCTAGAATCTCGGCAAAATGCGTATCTCATAATCTGTGCCAGAAGAATTTAGGCCTGACACAAAACAATGATTGTAAGCGAGCATTAATTTCTAAACCATCGAGTCCATCGCAAACAGAATCATATTGCTGGGAACGTTAAGTGTTCTTACAGAGGCCCCCAAGCCCTCGTTCTCACAAATCTTTCAGGTGCCTATGGAGAAATCGATTCGTTATAGCTAGAATGTTGCTTAAGATATTTGGGCGAAAAATAATTTATATCGCTGTAGTTCTTGAACTAGATTCTCCATTTACTAAAAAGTAGTGTATCATACTTACATCTTCTGTTATCGAGGAGATGTACGAAGAACCCGGAGTAACGTGAGTTTCGAGATGAATCAGTCAGGCTTGTCAGTGATAACAGCGATAGATAAGACTTCTTCCTAGATGAGAATAGACGGCTTTAATCATAATACATGGTATTCAATAATGCTACAATAAAAACTCTTTACGACAGATACTGTATGAAGACCTCCGTCAGAGGTACAGTACTTATCGACCGAATTTACTGATGACAATGCCAACAGCGCAATTTTAGGATTCAAACGAGATGAATACCCCCAATCAATCCTACTTACGTTTAATGTCGCCGTTTGTATAAGAATAAATGCTACCAATTCGATTAAGTTTAATGTGTCGACAGAAATAAAACGCCAACAATTCGATTCAGGACCGTCCGGTATGCAAAAATTTGATTAAGATTAATCTTTAATAATTAAACTGAAAAACAGTGATTATGAACTGTCAAATCACTGTGTGATCCGCGAATTAATTCGTTCCACAATCAATCTCACCTGATATGCGAATAAGTTAATTGATGAACGGCTAAAAATAGCCGGCAAATCATGCCGTTCTAGAATGTTGCACTTGATTTCAGTCATTGTAATGCGACTTTTTGGAATATAAAAGTTCGAAATACCGATAAAAAAGGTGTTTGTAGACCAGCTCTCCGACAATACTGATAAAGTACAATTGTAAGTGAGCGAGTATTCCTGCCGTGTTTAATCAGAGACGAAGAATAGATGGATATTCTCATATATGACCGTGTAATATTTTATTAAAAAGACTGGCCACATTAGCAAACCTTTATCGACACAGAGATTGCATGGCTCAAACGAAACGCAGCTATGTTTGCGGGTAGTGGGAGAATAATATTTAATGTAATAATTCGAAAGTTTTTTTCATACAATTCGTCTCTAAAAATTATCTGTATCGGAAAAATAAAAAACCGTTTCTGAAATTAAGAGTTTTGTTCGTCAAATAGTATCAGTTGTAATTCCACACTCCTGATCATATTTGATGCAAAAATAAAGAAATCCATGACGCGCCACAAGCCTTAGGTTTAAAACTCGTACAGTTTCTATCTCGCTACCTTTTATTTTTGTGCTAACCAAATTTCTATTTTTACGTTTGATCTTGACTAAACAGGACGAGACAGTTGATAAGTAAGTCTGTAGAGCGTTTTAAGATTATACTATTCGACACGACGGAAAAATATTTTATGTAGGAATCCAAGACAGTAATTCCCGTTTGGTCTCAAAAAGATGTATCGCCCAACATAACGATGTCGGCAGAAAAGAAAAGACAGCAAAGTCCGTGTTGTGTCTACGTCACAAAGGCAGTTCGGTAGCAACGATGGCGGGATTTATTAGCTGTAGTATCGGCATGGTGGACGCGTATACAGTGTGTAACAAAAAATTTTGCCCTCGGCACGCGTAGACTCCAAGACCGTCGATACTTAAGCTTCGCATAGTCAATAAATTAATAATAGAAGTAAAATAATTAATGTAAATAAACACTTAATTTGTTAAATAATAAGTAATATGTAATGCGCTTACAACGCTGCGCTCAACGATTAATTACATCTTCGTTACATTGAGTCTGCCAAATTAATAAGAGTTCTGGAATATTTTGCAAAACTACTTGCCAGATTGCTTGCACCGCTCAAAATTACCAATTGATTTATCAAAAACAGTGAGAACTTGTAATTACTCAGCAAAAGACTGTTCTTCTTTTACAACGTAAAGGGAAAATGCTGAAAAAATTAGTGATAAATATTTACGCCTGAGTCCTGGAAGAGATGAAGTTTTAGCAACAAAAGAAACAGGTAAAAAGTCGGTAATTACACAATATTAACGTGATAAATTGAAAGGTAAACAGTCGAAACTGGTGTCATTCCTCTTTCATAATTGCTAACGTCTCACATTTTTCTCTCAACATTATATTTAACGATAAATATACCAAAGATTTTTATTGTCCACATATTTTTCTGAATAAAATCTTTACTTGTATGTTTGGGGTCAGTCTCCTGCTGAAACTACCAGCATCTGATTGGTTTTAGGAATCTGTTGAGCCAAAATTTCCTCATAAAAGTTTGCATTCATTGGGAAAAGTTATACGCGTTTTCACAAAATCTCGTTTTTGTTGTTACACACTGTATATAGCGTAAATAAGTCATTTCCGGTTTTTTTGTCGTATAAACTGCGCTTCGTGCCGCTAATATGCGGTCGCAGTCGTATCGCAAGATGGTTGACTTGTTACTAAGCACACGTCAAGGTACAATTACTACTATGAAAAAAAACTTTTTCACTCGAAAGTCATCCGACCGTACTTTGCTTCCCAATAAATCTTTAGGTGTTGCAACTTTTGTAGAGGACGATGGCTGAATAAGTCTACACCATGTAGATAGATCGCATGAAAATGCCTTGCACCAGCGTTGACAATGGGATTATAGAGTACATTGGCGAGATCAAAACACGCTCACAGCATGGAATCAACCGTACAGAAACGTAATAAAGTGATACCCAGGTAATGACTAAATCAATTTATTACTACAAACACTTTGGAGACTTTCGCAATCGTGATTCTTATCACGCATCTGAAGTTAATTCCTCCAAGATTGGAAAATCATTATCTCTTTCTAGCTTTTTGGCTGTATTTTTGTATCGTTTTTTCTGCGTGTGGAACTGATTGACAAGTCTGCACATACTTTGACTACCGGTTCGGTTGTCTGTTGGGTTTTATCCATACCATAACGATGATTTCCTGTTTGTATTAATTGGATCGTATTATCTCCTCTCCCCAGTACATGATTCGCCTTTGGCAGCACTGTATGAATGATTTACTTGAAATCATACCTGGCGTTCACCTTCGAGGGATGTCTGTAATTACTCTCCACTCCCGCTGCCTCCATTTCACAGAAAGTAACTGGAAATGAAAAATGGTGCAATTTTTTTTCTTCTCGGTATTGCGTTGCGGCCTTAGCCGATAACGTTGTGTCGTGATGTTTGGATTGGATATGAATATAAAACAGATCTGGTCGAACGGCTCGGCGTGTTCCAATAGTCGATATAGTATGTGACACTTGGATTTGCTCTTGAATGAAGGTTGAGAAGACAACTGTATACATACTTAAATGCAGATTATAGGGTTGATAGATTGGTCACATTTATAATTATCAATATACTGTGTAATTACAATTATACAGCAACTTTCTCTCCTAATCTAAGCTATCATTAGTATTTTACATTTTGCTCCTGACTTCGCATCGCCTACCAATGCGTCTAACTTACTTCAATCTCCACCGTCATTGCAAAATCTTCCATCCCAGGCTTGCTTATCAATGTTGCTGAATATATGCTTCGATGAGTTGCGGAATTCACGTTTTGATAAAGCTTGAATTTTCGGATACGTTGCGGGGTTAATGGTTGGAGGATCAGTCAAACCTGTAGTGGACGTAAGAGATAAGTAAATACACAATCGTATAATATATTATTGACATTATTACATCCCGTCAAAAATTCAGATTAGCAATTATACAGAACATGTATTAACACTTCTTACACACATCATGACGAGAACTTTGAACACACTCCGCACTTGATAGGCGCGCTCCCATAAACTGCCGTCATTAGGTGAACACGAAACAAAACGATACTCCGAAAGATGTTTGACGATATACCGAAAAAATCTTGTATCCGGCTTGGGATCCCGTATTTTTATTTATATTGCCGTATATACATCCCCGTGACCAGATCGAATGTATGAAGACTGGAAGCTAATGCAGAATTGGACGGTTAGGCCGATGTGCGGGCGATGAGAGATGATGTCTGCATAGGAGTTGACGTAAACCGCTGTTGAAGCCATTGACTTATGCAATTTCCCAGTAGTTTCACTCCACAAGTATCAATACACTACACTGTTGCTTCCAATGGTAGCACCTTTGCCCTACTACCTCTACCGTGAAAACACATTCCTAATTCCATGCGCTTCCACTTGGTTGTTGCTGAACGGATGTTTGTTTGTTTGTTGGTTGTTTGTCTGTGGTGATAGTCGGCAGACTTGGGGCAGTTTCTTGAATCGATGTTGATGCGAGGTATATACAGAATTGCCAGTCATGGTAAGTGCATATAATTGAGTAGATGGATATTAATATTGCCCATAAGATTTCTTTTCCCATCATCAACTGCCCTCAAATGATTATTTGCTGTCGTTGTTCCGTTTTCCCTTCTCGCGTTGCTCAGTATTGTTTTTAAAGTTTTGTATCATGTCGTCACCTCCATTAGTGTTATCCATCTGGTGTTGTTCGCTGGTAATTCTTTATCCTCAAAAGATCCTCAATTTATTGCTTACTCTTCTTTGGAGGAAGACGATTGAGGAAGCCGAAATATTCCGATACGTGATGGAAGTTCGAGCAAGCTAACCTGCTTTGCCCACTTAGAGAACTAGGGTAATGAGAAAGCGAGGGAAAGTATTACAATGTCCGTATTCCGTATCTATCCGTATCTATCCGTATCTTTGGCTGTATATACATCACGAATAGCATTGTATTAAGCGGATGGGAATAAATGTGGATATGGTGATATGAGATTGAGTAACTCGTTCGTGTCTTGTGATGTTGGATTGTGTTTCAAGGGTGAGGCGACACACCGATATGAAATATTGTACGAGTGGTCATTGATAGTGTTGCATTATCGATTCCCACGAACTTTTTCTGTACCAAAATCCCAGCATTTCTCACCTGTTCAACCGACCGCCAAAACATCGAGCCATCATTCCTGACTATAAATACTCCCAATTCCATATTTTTACTTCCCACTTGACTATCGCTGATTCGTAATTAGTGTTTTCGTCTCGATCGACAGAACCTTCGCGACTTCGTGATGGGTTACTGTGTAAGTCGCCCATCTGAGAAATTGCACAGATTGCCATGTAGTATCGATGTAGCATATAAGGAGTGATGATACTATCGGGCGATTGAACTAAACAGCAGAATCATTAATGGAATAGAATGAGATATTACGATTAAAAAGTTTCACTTTAAAGGAAGTAGGTAAAAAACAGGTCACTGTTACTCTACGTACGTCTTGTATTAGCATTCAACTGTCACATTGTAGCATGCTTTACTCTCGGCCGATTGTAAATAGCAATATATTTAAAATAAAATCTGAATATTATACTCTACAGGAATCGTTTGAACGTATGTATTATTGATAGGGGAAAATAAGTATTTTAGCTTGTATCACTTGACGTAAATATTCTCCAAAAACTTCGTATGCTATTACCGTAGTACAAGGCATCATTTATTAGCCGTTTCCTCATGTATATAGACAATACAAATGATGTTATTCGCTTGAAACTGCCAGCAGTCATAATGGACAATCATTATGTCTTGCAATTATAGTTAGTTGGCAGGTGACGAATGGAATGATAACGCATAATATACTACCTAGCCGATTATTAATGGAGAACAGCCCGATTAGGACAGTCACCAATTGTATCTTATGCATTACAATAGTCGCAATAATTTCTCACGAATTTCCATACTTTATAAATAATGAAAACATCTATCGCTCGAGTACCGTTTTCGTTTGCTCGCTAGACGAGTTTATTCCCAGACAACTTCCGATGCCGACCTCTATAAATAAAATGGTTAAACACAATGTTTTTCTGTTACTCGTCTTTTTAATGTGCATAATACTAAGTGGCTCGGTCTGTGCAGAAGAGGTTGATATCGTCACTTCTTGCACAAATTGGTAAAACTCGATTAAATATTTTGTTACTATGCTTGCTTTATATACAGTATCTAAAACTCTCCTTTTCGTCTTTACTAGTAAGCGATTACCAGAGGCGGTTCCTTCGACCATTATTCGATGGGACCCTCCCACTGTAACTATACGATTGATATACTACTCACCTCTATCAAGGTAAGGACAACCTCAATTTGCAACGCTATACTATTCTAATTAATTATAAATTTAATTAAAACGCGCGGCATTGATAACCATACCATACTAAATATAATCCTAATACTGACCCTATATAATATTCATTAACAAAAAAACCAGGCCTTTGACTAAATTTAACTTTTACAATAATATCGTTATTCCCATCAGTATTCTCATTACCATCTTTTTCGGTTTTATTTTCATTACCTCACTAACCAGACGGGTTATTTACGTTTTATATAACAATCTACTTGACTTTTTGTTTTATTACTCTTTGGGATATTTTTAGAATTTAGATTAATTCTCGATTGTCATGTTGTATTTACTTATACTTGTTGGATTAAGTCCATTATTTTTAAATAATAATACAATATTAAATGTACACTTTTTAATAAATACACCAGGAATGATTATTTAGTTTTTACAAATTATTATACGAAATGCGTCTGTTTCGATATGATTTAAAACGAGTCCTTTCAAATTTTTATAATTTTATTATAAAAAACAGAAAGACCAGTAAATTCGGCCAAGTTTGAAATCTACTGCAGCGAACAATAAATGTCTATTTAATATATCTTTGATATAAGCATTATAAGCATTCTGATTGTTGAATTCTTTACAAAATAATATGAATAATGAAATACTAAAAGATACACAGGTATGCATATCACAATATTGTATAACGTGCAGAAAATATTTAAATCAATCAGAAACTAGATATATACAACTAATTAAAAAAAAAAAGTCCTTATTCAATACATCAAGATCTATGCGACAACTCTACCTTGTTCTCATTGTAAAGTTTATTTATTCTACGTTTTGCTTTGGTATATCCCTGTTCCGCAGCCTTTTGATACAGACCGACGGCCTTTTGAAGATGCCGTTCGACGCCGATCCCATGCTCATAATGCTTACCGAGAGTATATTGAGCCGGGGCGTGACCCTGATCTGATGATTCTTGATACATATTAACTGCCTTTTGATCATCCCTTCTGATACCAATACCATAATGATAATATTTCCCGAGCCTAAACTGAGCTGGGGCGTATCCCTGTTTAACTGCAGCTTCTTGGAATAATCGTAAGGCTGCTTGGGTATCTTTGTACACACCGACACCATTTTGGTAGCATTTTGCAAGCGTATATTGTGCAGGTGCATAATCCAGTTCCGCAGCTTTCTGGAATAATTCGATGGCTTTACGATCGTCCTGACGGATCCCGATTCCCCTTTGATAATATTTGCCGAGTTTATATGCCGCCGGAATGTATCCTTGCTCGGCCTGCTGAAATAGCCTGGCTGCTTTCTGGAACAATGCAAATGCGTCCTGATCCGTTTTGCTCGCGTCGACCCTTTTTTGGTAAATCCACCCGAAATTATAATACGTAAATTGTTCGGCGATTTTTTGATAGTCGTCAATTGCTTTTTGCTGATCCCGGGTTGCACCAATGGCAAACTGGTTTGCTATGCTGTGTGTATATTGTATTCGATCACGTTCTCGTTCGTCGGCTTTCTGATAAAGTTCAATCGCCTTCTGCTCATCCTTTTCGACACCAATGCCGAATTGATAGTACGCACCGAGCTTGCAGAGCGCAAGAACATAGTCTTGTTCAACCGCTTTGCGGAATAGGTCTAATGCCCTCTCATCGTCTTGTTCGACTCCACATCCTTTCTCATAACATAAGCCAAGATCGTATTGGGCGCAGGCCAGTCCGTGTCCGGCTGCTCTTTCGAATAACTGTGTTGCCCTGTAAATATCTTTTTCTGCACCGATGCCATTATGATAGCACAAGCCAAGATAATATTGTGCGAGCGAAAATTGCTGATCAGCAGCTTTTTGAAAGAATTCAGCCGCTATTTCGTTGTTCATTTCTAGTCCGGTTCCAGTTCTGTAGCAGTCGCCAAGGTAAAATTGTGCAATTGGGTTTCCTTGCTCAGCAGCATCCTGGAATAATTCGACGGCCTTCTCATCATTGAATCTTTCTTTTTGGTACCACACGCCAAATTTTAGGATCGTAAAGGCGTTCATTGCAAAGTGACAAGAGTAGTGAAAAGGAGGGGGCGGTGTATGGTATATATTTTGTGTAAAATGGAGAACGGCGTGTTGTTCTTATGTATAGTGCGATTTGTCTTGTCAACTGACAGAAGAATATGTTGTCTTGTGAGAAGAAAATGCTAGAGTGATAGAGAAAGCCCGTAACCTTGTGTAAAAGTTGGTAGAGAATATTTATATATATTTACAAAAAGAATGATATTGTATGACATGTAATAGAAACTATATTAATGTATTCGGTGAATCCAATATATAAATAGGCTTATGATTAAATATATATGAATATGCACTTCTGACTATCATCACTAATTGCGAATATGAATGTTTTATTTCTCAAAAGGTTCGATAAACGTTCTATGATTGGAAACTTATTGGTATCATACTTACATTGTGAGATCTGTTTCTAAATAAAAGGTTGCAATAGAGTTATGACGGAAAATAGTTCTTTATCCAAGACAGATTTATATCCAAATAAATACAATAATAAAAAAAATGGAGAAGATTCCCAGTCTTGGATTGACGGGATTATTGATTTGATGGAGATACAAAAGTCGTGCATTCTTGTAGCTTGTAAAAACGATGCTGTCATTTCTGCCAGCAAAGTCATTGGTAATCTCGATCGACCTTGTAAAACAGTGCTTTTTTGTGCGAGCGGACAAGTGCGTAATCACAAGTCAAGTGCATTAAACATCATTGAAGAGTCTTGTGTGTGGAGGCGTCTAATAAGAAAAGCTCGCATGGTTTCCAATAGGGTTAAATTAGCACATCAGTCATGGAAGCGGGACTCGGAAGCACCGACTCTGGATCGAGAATCAGGTCTTGTCGTACATTTAACATTTGGCTAGATCACATAAACAGATTTAGCGACAACGGGTTTTGTGTCGAAATCGACATGAGACGTGCTATTTGAGGTCGAGGACAGGTGCTACGATATTTTTGGTAATGAGACTTGTTGTTAGGAAAAGGATTCTATTATTTAGCGAATCATCTTTTCGTAAGAAATGAGAATTATACACATGCACTATTTTCTAATACATATTGCATGTATGCATATTCTTTACACTGACGTTTTCATATGATAATTGGACGTCATTATTATAAAATTTTGTGTACCCACCATTACGCACTCCCAGTGGGGAGAAATTCAGGGGAACAGATGCATTGAACCCGCATCAGTATAAATTAAGACAAAAGTATGTAATACAAATAGTGGTAAATATACAAAATGATTCTTTGAGGTGGAGGTTTCGAAACTTAAATTTATATTTAATCTCCACGCACTCTTACACCTTTCAGTAACAATAGGCAATCGTTTCGAACCATAATCATACGTGAACTTTAGATTGCTTATAGAAGTATTACACGTAGTGCAGGAGGACCAGACAAGCATCGGATACACCTGTTAATTGCAATATTTGATCTATTCCAATAATAAGCAAAAAAAAATAATAAATTCAATTCTCGCCCATGGGAGAAAATTACAAACGCTTTGAGTTTTTTGGTAAAATTCATAATTTATTTCAGGGTTTTCTATTAAAATCTTGATTCATGTGCGCATTTGCTTAAAATCGATTTTTTACTCATAGATCTAATTTTTGAAGATAAAAAGATTTCCATTGAAGAAAGAGTCAAGATAGCAAATAACGTCCTTTTCTCATAACATTAAAAGGTTTTCTGACTTAAAACTTTTTTATTTTCGGCACCAATAAAAAAATCTCTACTTTCGCACGCTTTTGGGGTTTACAAGTATAATTTTTTTGCTCATTGTGAGGGACAGTTTCTTGATAAGAAGAGAGAGGGAGAGAGACAGAGGACTGCTGTTGTCAAAAAATTTCGATAGCGAGGGCATACTGATGCTCAATAATAATTTATTGTAATGTTGGAGGAGAATTCGCACGCTTCCCACCTTGTAATAAAGTGTGTAATGCGATTAAACTACAATCCAATCAATCGACGATGCAACTCTTTGATTTTTTTTTCCCTTAACTTTGTACCGCAATTTTAATTGGGTTTTAACCCATTCTAACGTTCGATTGTACTCAAACTATTGTTTCGCAATGTAGCAAACATTTTCCTAAATAACGCTTGTTGCATGCCAGAAGACGGAATTGCCCAGAACTTTTTGTCCTTATTAATTGTGAATTTTTTGACAGTGAATTGTGATATCGACATTATAACATAGCTGCAGCAGATATTCCTATAGTTACATGCATCGTTTAGTAGTCATATGACTGTCTACTGCATTATTGCATAAATAATTATCCTTTTATAAAAAGCAATTTTCTTTAAAAGTTAATAGCAAGTAATGATTTAGATTTAGTCTTTTATGTAATCTGTCATTCACGGTTAGTTTAGGATTTCTAAGGTTGTGGAACCCCGAATTATTATAAAGCACCTATCATAGTGAAGGGATTGATACGATTTGGTGAAACACTGGGAATTAATCAAATTAATGTTTATGTTTATTATGTGTGTTAGAGATCAAGAAATGCTTGTCCATTTGTCAATATTAAGCTCGTAGAGTATCACATACACTACGTAGAAGTTATTGTGAATTGTGAGAGAAAAATGGGGAAAGAATGCGTATCTCGATATCGTGAGACCACGTAAATAGCACAGAACATGAGCTGTCTCTGTTAGCCATATAATTATACTAAATTTGACTTACGGTTTATAACTGCAATACATCTAAAATAAATTCAGTAATATAATTTGTGTACCGTAAGCTTCTCTTTGAATGCCGGAAAATTTGTTGTAATTCTAACCATACAATTTCTACTTGAAATCTAAAGTAGGAAAGTCATTCCTCGTACAATAAACTCTCTTATCGTTTCAAAATTCTATTCCAATGTAGAAATATATCTTCGACTAGTAAGTGTTAACATCGGTTTGTGCTATGACTCTAGTTTTTAGATAAGGTTTGTTCTCTAATTGTTGTTAAAAACGTCATAGAATAAACTTGATATTTAAACAAGTGCAAAAACAACAACCCCTTTCTACTCAATAAGTTGCCTTGTCTCGCCCTTCTTTACTCATTCTGCAGTATTAGCTAAATTTTAAATATTTATTTAATTGACAAAATTTCAAACTTAGTATTTTATGCAAAATTATAATTTGAATTTAGAACAAATTTAACTCATAATATTTACTTGACACCAGATGCTTATATTGTATAGTAATAGTATGTCTTTGAGCTTTAATGAAAGTTCCATCGCATGTCATTTCTATATAGAAAACATTACAAATAAAAAATTTTCTCAACGTTTTTTAGACATTTATTATTAAAAAAAATTAAGCAACTTTATAAAACCTTATCGGTCAAATTTGGTAAATTTGTCAATTTAGAAAATTAGTCAACGCAGACTATATGTATGCAAATTATTATTTATCGCACACTATTATTATGTGGATACTATTCTATCACAAGCTACGAATGATCTCGTTCGCGCAGTTGCCGAAACTAATCAAGACCGCGCTTGCACACGATGCCTTTTTCCTCCCGTGTTAAATGAGACACGGATGTAGCTAAATGGTCAGCGTTTGTTATATAAAGTTGACATTGTTTAAAATTTAAAGCTTCAATTAGTATCTAATGCCTTGACTATCTTCTTAGTTCTGCTGAAGGCGAGGCAGCAAAATATTGGCCATAATAAAATCTAACTTATATAACTCGGCCGATACACAGATTCGAGCAAGCAATATTTACAGTACAATGTTTTCTAAAACAATACTATTTTAAAAGCTGCATTGTAGACCGGATAGACAGACAATCAAAAATTAATTAAATAACTGTATTAAAAATTAACGCACCGCCGCCGACTTTGAGTCTTGCGGAGGGAGCCCGCATGTAAGCAAAATTTATGAATTGTGACGTCATTACAACTTAATAATTTCTACAAAAAAACCACTTATAATATTTCAGTAAAAACAAAATTCCAGGCTTTTAACTCTAAAATTTATATATGAAATCTACCAAATCAATAATTAATATGCTATGTACTTAATTTATTAACGGGTCTGCATATATTGCCTTCGTGGCAAGTTGTAAAGTCTATTACTTATTGACGTCATACAATTAACATGGTTCCTGCAAAAGAGCATACGTTTGTTTATAGAATAAGGTTAAATATATTTAGTAAAACTTAGCTTAATTCATAAGCGCAATAATAATAATTGACACACTTTCTTACCAAATACAATAACAGAATGTTTTAAAAATATCAATACGAAACTTTACATATATATAGTTTTTTGATAAAGATAAGGAGCGTATCCTGATCGAATATGTTTGTAATAAATTATTATAGAATCACCAAACGTGTCTTTTTGCCAATTAAACATCTAAACATGCTATTTAAAACGTCTAATAAAAATAATTTTATTTGACCATAGGAATAAGTATGGTAACCTTATATTACATTGCAAAGCTAGTGGCAATACACAGTGCAATGTTTATTACCACTTTGACGTCATTATTTGTCCAGTAATATTTATTTTCTTACGTTATTTTTTTATCTAACGTTACAGTCTTCATTGTCTAATGCGGCCCGAAGACTGCATCAACATGAACCGCTTAAAGCAAGCTTTTTTTTTTATAATGACAACTTAACCTATGTTTTCTATTTTGATGATAGAATAGCGCATGTATGCGTATTACGTTAAACTCTTTCAATGCCGCAGTTTTCTTTCAATAAAAACTTAAAATTAATTTATGTGAATGCTTTTGTTAAGAAAAGGAAGTTTGTTATACAATCTATTATTTAATATGAACAATAGTCGTTGTCGTAAAACGTTGCTGTAATATAAAAATTTAGAATTTTAAACAAAACAAAATTTACCGGCAATTTATTTAATTATTTACCGTAGAAATTCTGGCTAGTTACCCATGCTGTTATGTAAGCTATATTCGTACTCCATCATACAGTATACGTTATGCCTCAGTTGGGGACCTGTCTCAACTCCGGACTGAGACGGGTCTCAAATTTAATTACATGTTATATGTTGTATGTCAGATCGAAATTTATGTCAAATCAGAATTTTATGTCGCTTCCAAACTGACATACGACAATATATTATTCAATAAAACATTGTCATATTTACTACTAATTTTCTATTTTCTCATCTGACACATGTCAGTTTGGAAGCGACATAAAGTTGTGATCTGACACATATCACTTCGGAATTGACATAAATTCCGATCTGACATACAACATTATATAATTATAAGAAACGCGTATTTAGTCCAAAGACAATTACTTAACATTTTTTTAGTTATTGACTTGACGGCTAAGGGTCTTTTCAAGCAACAGCAATTGTAAAATCAAGTTATACAGTTGACCAAAGGAAGTGACATTATCACGTTGATACATAAATATAGTAAACTGCATCTGTTTCTATCACAAAAAATAGTCTGACCAAATTTATCGTAAAGACATATACGAAAAGTACAAAGCGCAGGTTAAAGCATCAGGTACTTTCAAATTCGTTGTCTTGCCCTTTTTTTCAAAATTAGCACAGTAGTAGGTGTCCTCCCTTAACTTGCTGACAGGGAGGCAACGCTCAGCAGTCGCACCGCGCGTAATCTGTAACAGCAAAAAAAGAAGTTCAGCTAATTACAGTAACTCAGTGTAAAGCCATGTATGTATCAGAATGCCTCTTACAGTCAGTGTTATCATGGACTAACGTCAAATATTTGTAAACAGAAAAAGACGGATCTCATACATCTTCTTATAGGAAGCCTATATATTGTGTCTGTCTCAGTTCAGAGCCTAGTCACTCAGTCCAAAACTCAGTTGTCTCAAATCTGAACTGAGACAGATCCCCAACTGAGATATAACGTGACCAT